TTATCAGATCCATGTCGCACAGTGTGATTTGCAATGATCTTATAGTATTGCTAAAATCATGCAGCGTTTCCTGGGCTTTACTGACCCCAGACCTTTGAACTGTAATTAATGTATGTAATGAAAATACAACAATATTAGTATATTTTATGTGGTTTATATGCTGCTTAAAGTTAAAAGCAGCACATTTAATCAAAGTTGTTTGTTTCTCTTTGTGTCTCCAGTGTGCAGGGGATTGATAAAGAATGGAGAACGGCAGGATGAGGAGAGCGTGGGTGGACGACGCAGGACAGAAGCTCTCCGGCAGCTGTGTCAGATGAACCCTTCTCAGGCTCTGAACATCAGGGCCATGGTGGTGAGTCTCCAGCACTAGACCACCTGTCATGCTTGCTAATGGGCCACAGCTAAATTGATCAGAACGATGTGTTATATTAAAGTCAAGCCCTTGGTCCTTCCACAGGTGGAAGAGTGTCATCTTCCAGGTCTGGGCGTTGCTCTAACGCTGGACTATAAGCCAGATATGGCAGATGAGGCGGTCAGTCCTCTTGTGTCTTATGTCAGCGGCCTACTTCTGGGCACCAATGGAAAAGTGCGTACCTGGTTCAGTATGTTCATTCGCAACGGTCAGCAGGTAAGAAGGAACAACAGTTGTGCTCAGACACTTGATGATTAGCTGCTTTGTAAACACATGAAATTCATGTATGTGTCTCACTTCAGAGGAAAAGAGAGAGCAGCTCAGTGCTGTGGCAAATGCGGAGGCAGCTGCTGTTGGAGCTGGTGGCCATCTTACCCCGTTCGCGCAGTACCCACGTTCCCAATGACACTGACATGGACTCCGAGAGCAGCTCGGGGTACTCTGGCCTGCGGGAGGAGCACGTTGTGAAGGCCAGCGCACTGCTGCGGCTCTATTGCGCACTTATGGGGATAGCTGGTCTTAGGTGTGCTACAGTTGACCCAATTAAATCTTATAAGTATAAATGGGTGGTATAGTAGCTTTTAACCACAATTAACTTAGACACTTAAGAAGCTCATTTTCTCCATTCCATACAGGTTATGAAAATGAATTCCAACAGATTCATGATTATATTCATTTTCTGAAGACACTGAATACCTCTTCCAAGTGTTGCAAAGTTTTCAAGGTGGTTATAAATGTGTTTTTTCTCCACAGGCCCACAGATGAAGAGGCGGAGCAGCTGTTGCAGTTGATGACCAGTCGTCCACCAGCCACGCCTGCAGGAGTGCGCTTTGTCTCCCTGTCCTTCTGCAAACTGCTGGCGTTCCCTACCCTCGTCAGGTACACACTTTGACACTAATACTCTAATAACTCCATGGTCATATCATACATTAATAAAATTTTTCTTAATGAGGTATAGTTGTAATGTGCCTAAAACAATTATACTTTACTTTCACACAATGTTCCACGTCAGTACAAAACATTTCAGCTGCTGATCTTTTTGGCCTTCTAAAACAGTTACACGTTTACACTACTGTTCAAAAGTTTGAAATCAGAACAATTATTTATTTTTT